ATTCAAAATTATGGTGTCAGCAGGGCCGTGTTCCCTCTGAGACTCTGCATAGAATCTGTGCTCACCTTTTGCAAGCTTCTGATGGTGGCCACAATTGCTGGCATTCCCTGGGTTGCAGCTATGTTGTTCTAGTCTCTCATCAGAAGGCCGTCTTGCCCCTAAGTCTGTCTCTATGTCTCTTCTCTTTTTATAAGGACACTAGTCCTATTACATCAGGGGCCCGCTACTACGGTCTAACCTAATTTTCACTTAACTAATTACATTTGTGATGACCTAATTTCAACATGTCTTTTTGAGGGGATATGATTTGACCCATAACACTGCTCTTCCTGTGTGGTCACAGCCTGCCGCTATGGCTAATGTGATGTATCAGGTTGTGTCGGGAAAGGCACTCAGCTGAATCTCCTCCGAGAGGCAGAGAGCCGATGGCTTCTTTCACTGCCCCTTCTTGGCCATCTCAGCTCTTCCAGCACCTTCCTAACTAGTTCCCTGAATTAAATTCTTACCATTGAACTCTTTTGTCTGGGCTTTATTTTTCTGATTAGACTTTGATGGCTACATCAATAAAAGAGATGTTTCTCCTTGTTTGTTTATCTTGTTTGTTTCATATTCCTATTATTCCCTTGTGAGTACTGGTTTAAAGAGTAATGGAGGATAATGCCAAACCTTCCCACTAGCTGAAGAATTAGAGCAGGTGGCTCTTTCCCTCAAGTGAGAGCTGCCAAAAACATGTATTCACTTCAGAAAAACCCTTGAGCAGACTGATATTCACCAGGAGGCAATAATCATGGTTAAATTTTCTTTTTTTAATTCTAAAGGGGTAAGACATCAGCTCTGAAATACAAAGTCATGTCTAATAGATATCAATCATTTGGCCTGGTCAGAGTGGGAATAGAACGAACCAAAACAGCAACTTGGAAAGTTTTTAATATTCTTGGACTCCACTATATCTCCCACATGGCGTTATTATTTCTCAGTGAGTTGCTTCTGTTTTCATTTGGTGCAATCCTTTATTTTCCTACAGAAAATTTCATGCCTGTGAAAGAGCCATCATAGCAACAAGCTATGATGCCACAGAGCAGCTGTGGCTGAGAAACACTGAGATTATCTTCTCTGTCAATCCCCGCAGGCATGATGGAGATGCTCTCTCTTTTGGTCCACTGGGTTAATTTGGCTCCCTTAAGACCTTGACAAAATGCCTTCTGTGGTGGCAGTTTTGTTCCAGGAAAGCTTTTTGTTAATTTTGTGCTATAAAATAAGTCTTGGGGTGCACGGGAAGTAAATGGTGATCCATGAATGGATTATAAAATCTTTCTAAAAAATGGTGGAGGAAACGTTCTTAGGCTGGATCTTAGTGGCAATAAAATAAGGGCATACAAAAGGACTTCAGTTTTTAAATTTATTTTTCATCTATTTAGAAACAGTGTCTCACTCTATCGCCCAGGCTGGAATGTAGTAGTGTGATCATAGCTCACTGCAGCCTTGAACTCCTGATCTCAAGTGATCTTCTCATCTTAGCCTCCCAAGTAGCTGTGACTATGGGAGTGAGCCACCATGTCTGCCATCTGAATATATATATATATATATATATATATATATATATTAGAGATGGAGTCAGTCTCGCCATGCTGCTCAGGCTATTCTTCAACTCCTGGCCTCAAGTGATCCTTCCACCTTCAGCCTCCCAAAGTGCTGGCATTACAGGGGTGAGGCACGATGTCCAGCCCAGTTTTAAAATTATTAATGTTGTGTAGACATCTAAAGATGGATTAATTAATTAATCAAGTTCACTATTTGTTCATTCATTCATTCATTCACTCATTCAGCAATGTTTACCCAGTGCCTGTTATATATGAAGCTTAATTCCAGATGATGGGAATATATAGTGAAAATATAGTGGAAAATGAGAAAGTCAGGAGTTTTGCTCTCACAGACCTTAAACTCAAATAAAAGAAAAGACAATTAATTAGTAAACAAGAAAATGACAGTGAGCGATAGGGGCTTTAATAAAATTAAAAGAGACAATGTGATAGAGATAGCTTGGGTGTTGCCTGGGAATCATCCTGGTCCCTCCCTTTCTCTTTGAGCAGGTGATAATGTTTGACTTTGTGTCCCCACCCAAATCTCATCTTAAATTGTAATCCCCAGGTATTCAGGGAGGAACGTGATAGGACGTGATTGGATCATAGGAGCAGTTCCCCCGTGCCATTCTCATGATAGTGAGTGAGTTCTCACAAGATCTGATCGTTTTATAAGTGTTTGGCCAGTTCCTCCTTTGCTTACTCTCCTCACTTGCCACCATGTAAGACATGCCTGCTTCTCCTTCTGCCATGATTGTAAGTTTCTTGAGGCCTCCCCAGCCATGTGGGACTTTGAGTCAATTAAACCTCTTTCCTTTATAAATTTCCTGGTCTTGGGTAGTATTCTTTACAGCAGTGTGAAAATGGACTAATCCAGCAGGGAAAGCCTCTCCAAGGACATGTCACTTGGGCTGGGACTGAATGATAAGGGAGGGACATCTTTGCAAAAGACTTGGGGGAAGAACATTTCAGGCAGAGAAAACATGAGGCATAAATTCTGAAAAGTGGGAATAAACTCAAGGAGTTGGAGAACCATAAGCAGCCTGCACGTCTGAGTATGCTGAGTTGTGGAATGTGAAATCAGATGAAGTCAGAGGTCAGCAGGCCAGGAAATGTAGGGTCCTGTTGCAGTTTCAACTTTATTTGGTCATCAGTGGGAACTTTTTGGAGGATTTTTGTATGGAAGAGAAATTATGTAATCCATATGTGTAGAATAGACTTCAGAGAGGAAAGATTGAAACCAAAGAGACCAAAGAATTGTCCAGTGAGAGATGGTCCCTGAATTGGTGATGGTGGCACTTGCAATGGAGGAGTGTGGACAAGTGCAAGGGGCATTTTGGGAGTAGCATTCACTAGAGTTAGCAAGAAACTGGGTGATGGGGTGTGGTAGACAGATATTAAGATGACCTCTGTTTATCCTTATCTCCTGATATTCATGCCCTTGTGAAGTTTCCTGTTTTTGAATATGGGGTGAGCCTGTGACTTGTTTCTAACCAACAGAATATAGAAACAGTGATCGCATGGCACTTCCATGAATGCAGCACATAAGATCCAAGCATCTGTTTTGATAGCAGACTCTTTATTAGCTCTCACCCTTGCTGGCATTGATGAAGCAAGTTGCCATATGGAGAGGCCATTATGACAATGAATGATGTCTGATTGCCAGTGAGGACCTCACGCCTTCAGTCCAGTAACCCACAAAGAACTGAATTTTGCCAACAACCATGAAGAATTAGAAAATTCCCACTTGAGCTGCAGATGAGACTGCAGTCTGGGCAACACCTTGATTGCAGCCTTGCGAGAGACCCTGAAGCAGAGGAAGCTGTGCCTGTTTTCCTGCCCACAGAAACTGATACCAGAAGTTTCCTTGAAGCCACCAAGTTTCTAGTAATATTACTACACAGCAACAGATAATGATTACATGGAGTAAGTAGAAATGAGGAGTCAAGAATGACTTCTAGGCTTGAACAACTGGATAGGAGGTAGAATTACTTACTGAAATGGGGAGGCTTGGGAAAGAACAGGTTCAGGGAGAAATCAAGACTAGAAGTTTCAAATAAGTGGTTGGATGCGCACGTAGGGGGTATGGCAGAGAAAGGTGGTTGTCATCAGCCTATCAGTGGCATGTCCTTTATCCAGATGTGTAAAATCAATAGAGTAATTACCAGATCTCCCCGTTCATGAGTGCGTTGTACGCTGGCCAGGACGTGGGTTCTTCTTTTCTACTCCTCCCCACTTCACTGGACTTTATTCCCCTACACAATGCTCTTGGACCCCTGCTGGCATCATATTCTCCTGCCTGACTCCCTTTGTCCTTCACATCCTCCTCTCCTAGGTCCAGCTTTCGTAGCATCCTTTACCAAGATTTATTCCGGACAGGGGCTTCTTTCAGATCTTTGCATTCTCTCCTCATTTCCCAGACTGATCAAAACATGCTTTCCGATGCTCATTCACCCAGGATTCTGCTACCAAATAGCAAATATATGCTGAGAGGTGGAGCTGTGTAAGGAATATGCATTTGGAGAAAGGTTGGAATTTGAACTGCAAATTGACTACTTATTGGCTGAGAAAGACACGTAACATCTTCATTCTCATCTGTAAAATAATAATAGCAATGCCTCCCACCTAATTTTGTTTAAACATAAAATCACAGGAGGTATCATATGCCCAGTACAGTGCTTGGCACATAGTAGGTACAGTAAATCCTACCTAGTATCACCAGACTGACTTTTTCTAAAGTGAAAAAATTCGATCTGGCCAACATATTCCCTTATAGCGCTTGTAGTCTCAAATTTAACTGTATTTTATTTCTTTCAATGCTCTAGTCTATTTTTATCAGTATTTAAATATGTTCCAGACACATCTGTCTTTAAAAAGAATTTTTTTTCAATCACTCCACTTTCCTCACTAGACAGCCTCATTATCTCTCCCCTTTCCTTCACAATCATGCTTGCTGAGCATTGTCTGCACTCTGTCTTCACTGCCTTGTGGCTACTTCCTGCATTCTACACAGCATTCTGTACCTACTGGGCCTTTTTTTTTTTTTTGAGATGGAGTCTTGCTCTGTTGCCAGGCTGGAGTACAATGGTGTGATCTCAGCTCACTGCAACCTCCCTCTGCCTCCTGGGTTCAAGTGATTCTTCTGCCTCAGCCTCCCGAGTAGTTGGGACTACAGGTGCATGCCACCATGCCCGACTAATTTTTGTATGTTTAGTAGAGATGGGTGTCACCATATTGACCAGGCTGGTCTTGAGCTCCTGACCTCATGATCTGCCCACCTCAGCCTCCCAAAGTGCTGGGATCACAGACGTGAGCCACCATTCCTGGCCTACTGGACCACTTTTAAGGTTGTACTTCTAATGTCACCAAAGGCATTGCTGTTACTAAACCCAATGGCTGTTTTTTCAGTCCTTATCTTACCTGAGCTCTTTTTAGCAATTAATTGTATTGACCACACCTCATTGGTGTAACATCCTCTTCCATCTCTGTTTCCCATAGGTGTTCTTCATCCCTATGGCTTCAGTGACTATCCATGGGCTTATGTTTTCAGTCTAGCTCTCTCCTGGACTCCTGAGCTGCAAACCCAGCTCTCTTCTGGATCCCCCAACCTCTTTTTACTCAACCAAATTTACTACTTTCCCATGAAACTGCTTCTTCCTTCATTCAATCTGTATAAATGGTGCTATAGAGATTCAGCTTCTTAAGCCAGAAACCCTAAAGTCACACATATCCCCACCACCTACTCCTGTTTCACTTCAAAGCCCTGTTGATTGTTGAGTTCTGTGTTCTGTAGATTCTGCTTCCACAGCAACTGTGGAATCTGATGACTGATCTCCACTCTTCTGGGATGATAGAGTTTGGCTGTGTCCCCACCCAAATCTCATCTTGAATTGCAACTCCCACGATTCCCACGTGTGGTAGAAGGAACCTGGTGGGAAGTAATGGAATCATAGGGACACATTTTTCCCATGCTGTTCTCGTGATAGTGAATAAGTCTCATGAGATCTGAGGGTTTTAAAAACGGGAATTTCCCTACACAAGCTCATTCTCTCTTGCTGTGGCCATGTAAGACGTGCCTTTCACCTTCCGCCAGGACTGTGAGGCCTCCCCAGCTGCATGGAACTGTGAGTCCACTAAACCTATTTTTCTTCCCTGTCTCTGGTGTATCTTTATCAGCAGTGTGAAAACAGACTAATACGTGGGGCCTCGTCATCACTGGCTGGGTCACTGCACCTGCCCACCCCCTGGTCATTGTGCTTTCAGGTTTGCCCCTTTCCAGTCAGTCCTCTGCATTTACGTGACCCTATCAAAACACAGGTCCACTCACAGACTCCCCTGCTTTCAGCCTTTCAGTGCTGCGATCACCCTATGTCTGATGTCCAAACACCTTAACATGATACTTGGGGCCCTCATCACAGGGCTGCTTTGTAACTGCCCAGCATTTTATTAATATCTTTCCTTACCCCTGTACTCCATATTTCAGTCACATTCAACTATTTACAGTGACCCCGAATATTCACACTCTTTTGTGACTCTTGCTTTCTTATAAGTTATTTTCCCTGCCCAATCTCTTCCCCCTTGTCCTCATAATGTCTCTTGTCCTTCTGAGCTCAGCACAGATGCTGTCTTCTCTGGGACTCTGCTAAGCCTATGCAGCTCTTCCTGTAAAGCCTTGCAGTCTCCTAGTAGAGCAATATCTATGTTGGAATTGACTCCTCCCCCATCTGCCCCTCCCACTAGCGTTTCCTCTTCCTTGAAGGAAGGTGCTGCGCCGTATTCACAGGTGTATCTCCAGCCTGGTTCCTGGAGGCAGTCTGGAAATAGTTGCTCAATGAATACATACTCAATGTGGTACCTTTTCAGTACGTGGCACATTTCAGGAGTCTTCTCACTTTAGAACTTCTGCACTTGATTTTTCCCTATGTCAGCCAAGTTCTTCCTTGTCTTTTTGTATAACTGGCATCTTCTAATTCTTCAGATTTCAGCTCAAATTTCACTGTGCTGGAAAAGTTTACTAACCATACTATCTGCTGACCTCTTTCACAATACTAAGCACTGGTTTTGATTATCTTCTATTTGTTTACTTGTTAATTATATGACACCTCCCAATCCTCTTGCTAAAATATAACCTACACGAGAATCAAAACAATATCTGTTTTATTATTCACTATATCCACAACAGTTAGAAGATACCTGACATATGATACTTGTTTAAAAAAATCCTTGATGAGTAAATTGATGGAAGGAATTGATGTTAATTAGTGAAAGGAACTGTATCTGAGGAGGAATGGGAGGGATTTGAGCGTGTTCATAAAGCAAGGGGAAACCTTTAAAGTGGGCAGTTGAAAATAGAAGTTAGAGCCAGGCACAGTAGCTCACTTCTGTAATCCCAGCACTTTGGGAGGCTGAAGTGGGCAGATCGTGAGGTCAAGAGTTCAAAACCAGCCTGGTCAACATGGTGAAACCCTGTCTCTACTAAAAATAAAAACATTAGCCAGCCATGGTGGCAAGTGCCTGTACTCCTACCTACTTGGGTGGCTGAGGCAGGAAAATCACTTGAACCTGGCAGGTGGTGGTTATAGCAAGCCAAGATTGCAACACTGCACTCCAGCCTGAGTGACACAGCAAGACTTTGTCTCCAAAAAAGAAAAAAAAATAAGAAAGGAGATATAAGTTAGATGGAGATTCTTGAGAAGACAAAAGGTCATGAAGATAGGGCTATGTGTTGACAATTGAATCTGAAAAGTGAAAACAAAACCAAAAGCGAGGGCTCTTCCTCTTTGGAAAATGGACAAAAGGAAGAAAAGTCGTGTAGCAGATACAGTTTGTGCTCCATCCAGCTCTCTTTGGTCACCCAAGGACTTGCACAATGGGTCCCTGAGCATGGTAGTCACAGTGGCAAAAATGGATGTGACAGACACATGGGCCAACAGCATGGGCTCCAATTCACCAGATCTGCCTAGATGCCGTCAGTGCCAAAAATGAGAGGCCTGCAGCAGGCCCTAGGTTGGCAACATCTCTTAAGGAGACAAACCGTCAGTGCTAAATAATTCCATGGGATGCCTTCCACCCTGAAGTGAGCAGTAATTTGTCTTTATTCTGATACATATTCTGGGTATGGGATCATCATCCCTGCCTTCACTGCTTCACTCAGTATCATTCACTGAGGGCACAGAGAGTCATTTCCCAACATAGGATCTCACACTAAATCATCATGTACCATGGGATCCACTTTACATGGAATGAGGTTTGATAATGGGCATATTGCCATGAGATCCACTGGTCCTACCAAAAACCGTATTATCCCTAGAAGTTGTCAGCCTGACAGAATATTGGAATGGCCCCTGAGAGGCTCAGCAAAGATGCCAGTTGTGTGCCATTCCAGTGGTGTGGTTGGGGCAAGATGTGGAATACGCTGAACCAAGAGCAATTATAGGGTGCTATGTTGCCGTAGCAACAATATACAATCAAGGAGTAGAAGTAGTTTCATATCTTCACTTCCAGAACTTACTTGGAGTTTTTGTGCATCAGTTTCCAAAATTTTAAGGTCTATTGTAGTGGAAGATGAGGCCTTTAGGGATGAACATTTCCACCATGTTCTACTGAATCTAAAGCTACAATGTAGCCTGGTTAACTTGAGCCTCCATGCTGACAGACCAGCAGCAAAGAAAGCATTTACTCTGCTGGCACGAGTAACTGATGTTGGTTATGAAAATCTGGAGAGGCTGATGCATAAAGGCACAGGAATTACTGTACTTGGAACTCAAGAGCTAGATTCTCTGGGGTACTTCTGGTTGTTTTCGTGTCTGCTGACGACAATGAAAGAACAATTGTAGCAACCAGGCCTGACAACAGGGCAAAGTCTCCAGAAGTTCAGATCCTCAGGGATCAGAGTCTGGTTCTGACCTGATGCGCCAACTAAGACCAGCAAAGAAGTCAGCCAAAAGGAGAAGAATCAAACGCAGGTGGTGGAAGAGGGAGTCGATGAGTATTAATTATGGCCTCAGATCCATCTGTGCATCAGGATATTGGCCAATCCCACTCACCCCCCTGTTATAAGTCTTCTTGGGCTTGCAAGTGTCCACCAATTTGAAGGATCAGTGACAGAATAGAATGGAATTATTCTAGGGCACATACGGATCGGAAGGCTGCACAGTGGACTCCAGCAGAGTCCAGGGCCCTCACCATGTCTTCCTGTCTGATGGTTTGCTGCCTCTCTCTGCCTGAGAACATATTCTGGCTGCAGAGTATGCTCCACTTGCATACAGGGCAGGTGTGCAGTGATGGAGAATTCCCATCTCCAGGAATGACCCTCAACCGATGAGAAATGGGAACTAGGGATCAATACCCCAATTACCTCACTGCTCAGTGGGGGGATTCAGAAGCATGGTCCACACCGTCTCTTACAGGATTACCCACTACGGCCCGCAGCACACAGTGGCCTCTAATGCTTCCTTTGCTCACTTTCCTTTTTTCTCACCCTTGCTTCCCCATGCCCTCACAGTGACTCTTGGTGCCACCTCCCAAATAAAATTTGCACTCAAAGCCTTGTCTTAGAATCAGCTTCTGGGCAAACCCAAATTTTATTCGTTTCCTGTGGCTACTGAATTAAATTACACAACCTGGGTGGTTTGAAACAATAGAAATAGATTATTTCACCGTTTTCGAGAGTCCACAATCAGTCTGGGCTGAAATCAAGATGTTGGCAGAGCCACGCTCCCTCCAGAGGCCCTAGGGAGATTCTGTTCCTTGCCTCTTCCAGCTAGCGTGGTAGTCACAGTGGCAAAGATGGATGCAATAGGTATGTGGGCCCACAGCATGGCTCCAATTCACCAGATCTGCCTGGATGCTGTGAGTGCCGAAAACGAGAGACCTGCAGCAAGCCCTAGGTAAGGCACCATCTCTTAAGGGGATGGACCATTAGTGCTAAATTCGCACTGCAGCCACTAACTGAGTGACTACAGTGCTGGCTGCTGGCATTCCTTGGCTTGTGGCTGCGTCATTCCAGTCTTTGCCTTCATCACTTGGTTCTTTTCACTGTGTCTGAGTGTCAAATCTCCCCCTACCTTATAAGGAAACTTGTGAGGACATGCAGAGCCCACTGTGATAATACAGGATGATCTCCTTATCTTAAAATCCTAAACTTAATCATATTTGCAAAGACCCTTTTATTCAAATAAGGTAACATTTACAGGTCCTGGGATTGGACCTGCTCTCTGGGGGACTGTGGTGGGGTGAGGGAGGGGAGAATTTTCTTCCCACGACACAAACTAAGACAGATGGACATAGATGTAGATATACAAGTTATATAGGGTAGCTTGGCAGTAGTGAGTTTATGTCAGTAGTAGCGGTAGATATATTGGTGCTAGGTTGCATAGACCTTGAATGTCAGACCACAAAGACTGCCCTATACTCTTTAGATAAGATACTACAGAGTGGAGTATATCCCAGCGAGCATTATCTTCCTAAATTTGTACTTGAGAAAATAGGTTGAGACAGAAGTTAAGTAAGTTAAAGTTTATGAAAACATGTGGTGGCTTGGAATCCAAAGCAAGGTCTATTTGGTTCATAAGCAGTGCTTTTATCCGTTTTTACCGCGCTGCCTACTTAAGTGGGTTAGAAGGGGATGAATGCTTATTAAAATGCTCCCTTATTAACATGATTCTGGCCCCGGAAAACAGGAAGGATTCAGAGAGAGCAATTAGAGGCAGGAAACATATCCCGAACTGGCCCCTCGCTGGGCATGACCTCCACTTGTCTGGGGCCCCCG